AAAAATTTACTTTCCCATCAAAAAGTCATCCTGTAATCTCAGCCCTCAGGAGATTGAGGCAGGAGATCTGGTGTTCAAGGCCGTCCTCAGCTACATAGCAAGTTCAGGGCAGCCTGGGCTAACAACAACAAAATAAAACAAAAAAAACACACAAAAAAGGAGTTATCAAATGAGGCTACAACTTCAATTTAAAGCAATCAAATATCCATTTGGAAGTTAAAAAAATTATTAAGGTAGGTCTGAGGAGATGCCTCAATGGATAAAGAACTTGATGTACCTGTGGGAGGACACTCACATATATGCTGAACAAGTCCATGTGGCCAGCCTGTAATCCCAGCCCTTGGTAAGTGGGAACTGGGATCCCCAGGGCAAGCTGCCTAGCTAGATTGTTGGAGTCACTGAGCTCAGGGCTCAAGTAAGAGATCTTACCTCCACGGGCATGGTAGTGCACACCTTTTAATGCAGCTTTGGGAGGCAGAGGCAGAAGGATCTTTTTGAGTTTAGGGCCTGGTCTACAAAGTGAGTTCCAGGACTAAATAGATTTTTTTTCAAAGAAAAAATGGAGAGAGCTACCTCAATATATAAAGTGGATGGATGGAGAGTTGATTGAGGAAGCCCGCTTGCATATGTATGTGCACTCATAGACATGTAAACACATATGCACATGCAAACACATTTCAAATACACATATGTATAACCAAAAACAGAGTGGGTGAAAATGACATGTTTTGTTAGGGTTGGTGCTACACACCTTTATTCCTAACACTCAAGAGACTGAGGCAGGAGAATTTCTTTGAGTTCTAGTCCAACCAGGATTATATAGCAAGACCTTGTCTCAGAGTAAAAGAATGAGAAAGAAAGGAAAGGAAGTAAAAGGGGAGAAAGAAAGAATGGGGTTGACAAACTGGAGAGCTGGCAAATTGGAGAATTGGTGAGCTGGTCAGCTGGCTCAGGGTGTACTGAGCTTCCTACGCAAGCCTGACAGCCTCTGTTCAGCCTCTGAAAACCATGGAAGGAGAGACTTGACCTCACAAATGTCCACTGTCCTGCACATGTGCTCTGTGGTGTGTACCCCATTATAAATACACATACATACACAGTAATGATGGTAAGAAACAGGGTTTCTTTTTGTAACCCTGGTTGTCCTGGAACTCACTTTAAGAACAGGCTGGCCCTGAACACACAGAGATCCGCCTGCCTCTGTCTCCTGAGTGCTGGGATTAAAGGTGTGCTCCACCAAGCCCAGCTTTATGTGCTTCGCAGCATCACCTTGTCTCGGGGGAACAAAGTGTTTTGTGTCTCCCTTGTCTTAGCCCCGAGATCTAAATATATTTGCCCCAGTAGAAGATCCGCAGCTGAAATACAGAATTAGCATTTCCCCACCCATTTCTATTCTCCCCTTTCTCCAAGGTGTCCTTTGCTGCGCACATTGCAGGCGGATTTGCTGGGATGTCCATCGGCTACACTGTGTTCAGCTGCTTTGACAAGACACTGCTCAAAGACCCCAGGTTCTGGATGGCAATTGCTGCCTATGTCATTTGTCTCTTATTTGCTGTGTTTTTTAACGTCTTCCTGTCCCCAGCGAACTGACTCGCCTCTAATATGAGCCAGTTATTAAAAGTGCCACGTGGGGGGAATGGAAAATGTGAAGAAACGCAAACATCCCAGCATAAAGAAGATGGGACATCACCCGATTCATCACCTCTGAGGGGAGCTTCCGATAGGAAAGAGACAAAGCTAGGAACCAAAAAATGAGACTTTCATACACAGGGTATGCATGTATTATCCTATTACAGAGACTTATATCTTGTTTGATAGACGCCACAAGAGCTGTATTATCCTGAGAATAAACTTTTCATATCTATGTTGGACTCTTGGTTCTTGTGGCTCTGAGGCACAGCCTCCTGTATCCCAACATGGCCAAGAACTGGTTGAATCCAAGGAGAACCTAGAACTCTGGTCTCTGCTTCCATTATTGCAGCTGGGATTTCAGGCTGTGCGCTCTCACCCCAGGGCCTCCAACCTTAGAGCTGGCACTCCACCTACACCTACTGAGCCACACCCCCGTGGCAGACTCTCTTTCTAATGAGTCTCTGGTTTTTTTGTTTTGTTTTTGTTATTTTGCATATAATAGGTTGCGTTATGCAATCTATTTCTGGGGGTATTTATCATCCCTTTCTGTTTATTTAAAATATCCTTTAGCATTTGATTTGATCTTTCTATAAATGCCTGCCATGTAGGATTGTATGGTATACCTGCAATATGTTTTATATTATAATAAGCAAAAAACTGTTTCATTTACATAGAGAAATATGCTGGAGCATTGCCTGTCTTTATTTGTACATGTTTATTCATGTTGGCCATAGCTTCTAGCAAATGTATGATTACCAAATCAGCCTTTTCTGAACTCAAAGCAGTTGCCCATAGAAAACCTGAATGGGTATCAATGGTGTGATGTGCATATTTTAGTTCCTCAAATTCGACAAAATGGAATATATTCATCTACCAGATTTTGTAGAGGTTTCTGTACTGCCTGACCCCGAAGCCATTTTGTCCCTAAGAAACACACAGAGGCTTGTATTAGTTATAAACTGTTTGGCTATTAGCTCAGGCTTTTTATTACTTTTTTTTTGGCTTTTCCACAGGGTTTCTCTGTAGCTTTGGAGCATATCCTGGAACTAGTTCTTGTATATCAAGCTAGCTTCAAACTCACAGAGGTCCACCTGCCTCTACCTCCCAAGTGCTAGGGTTAAAGGTGTACGCCATCACTGCGTGGCTATTAACTAGCTCTTACAACTTAAATTAACCCATAATTTTTATCTATGTTTAGCCACATGACTTGGGATCTTTTCTCAGTACAGCATTTTCATTCATCTCACTTCCCCTGCATCTGGATGACGACTGCACACTGAACCTTTCCTTTTCCCAGAATTCTCCTAGTCTGTTCACCCCACCTATACTTCCTGTCTGGCTACTGGCCAATCAGCATTTTATTAAACCAACATGAATGACAAATCTTTACAGAGTACAAGAGTATTATCGCACACAGCAGTTCCTCTTTTCTTTTTAAAACAAGAATTCTAAAATCTTTGTTTAGCTTTTTTTTTCCTGACCATTATCAATAATAACTTGTAACCAACACTCTAAACAAAGACAAACAACCATAATCCATTTTTTGGGAATGTAGGCATAGTTTTCTAGGCTACTTCTTGCTTATTGGGGATGTGGATAATATTTTGAGGACCTAAAGAAAATTTAGGGTTATGATCAAGTCCTGACCAGAGTATTCTTTGAGGCTGGATCATCTCAGCCAGCAGTCTTGAGGCTGTTCTGGATGTAGAACTCAGAAGAAACTGCAACAAAGGTTCTCTGAAATGTTGGATCATCTGTTCCAACTGGAGATTTTTCAGGGGATCTTCTTTGATCAGATCTTATTTTTAACCCAGAATGAATCCACAATGTCTCATTTCCTGTGGAAACAAAATCAAAACCTCTTCTCCAAAGTAACATATCTTTTGACTTCAATTTCAAAGTCAAGGCACTTTCAGAATATATATGTTGGATTAATCCAGTAGCATTTATCAAATATCTTTTAGAAGCTGTTGTTCCTTCCTCAGCAGTCAAACAATTCAAAGACAATACAATAATGCACAGTATCTAGATTCTCTGTGGGCCACTTTTAAGAGTTCTAACTCAAAAGCAGAACCTTGCCCTGCACTCAACCTTTCTATCTTTTCATCAAATACCCAATGAACTGGAAACATGTCCACCCGACTCTCTGGGGGGTCTGCTCTCAGTGGAGACCCTCACCCATGCAGTTTTTCACAGACTTCTGTCTCCGAGCTTGCTTGCTTTATTGGACCCTTACTCAATAAGGAATACCTCTTTCTCCTCTTCCCAACAACTAGCAGGACTTCCAGCATGCCTGCCCTGTTTCTTCCAAAGCTACAATAAAGTGGTCCCCAGGCTTCCTTCTGAGTTCACTTAGAACATTATTTATGAATGAGACCCGCAAAGATCCAGTACTCTTTCCGGAGAGCATAGCCATATATTCAAATACCTAATTTTAAGTCATTCTTCAAACAAAATGTAGGATCTGGCATGGTGGTATATGCCTTTAATCCCAGCACCGCAGAGGCAGAGGCAGGAGGATCTCAGTGAGTTTGAGGTGAGCCAGGTCTACATAGTGGGTTCTAGGCTAGGCAGAGCTACATAATAAGATCCTGTCTCAAAACCACACCAAAACCAAAAAAATTAAATGAACAAATGTATTATCAGTTATCAATTAGCTAAATAGCAGGATTATTTCATTTCAATGATGACAAAATATATGTCATTGAATGAAGGTCCAGAATTCATGTAAAAGTATTTTTACATAGAGTAATCTTAAACTTATTTTTTGAAATTTACATTTTAAGTTTGCCTATCAAAAAGCACTTTGGAGATTTCTGAGTACTTAATAAAAGCACATTTTAAACAATTTAATCATCTGTTAGGCTATAAGTTATCTTTCTTAGAAACCCTGTAAGGCTTTTCTCAGCCTCAGCATGGACCGTGAACTATGCCAGAAACACATGTGGGCATGTCTATCTTTCCACAAGGGCGGGATTCACTGGACAGCAAATAAAGTCACAAGGTTTAGCAGTTTTCTTTAAATATTTTTCCATTAAAAAATTTTAAGTTATGTGCATATGTGCATGTTGTCGTCTATGTGAAAAATCAGTGCGTGTGAGTGTGGGTACCTATAAAGGCCAGTGGTGCCAAATCCGCTGGAGCTGGAGTCCAGGCAGTTGTGAGCCACCTGATGTGGGTGATGGGAGCTGAATTCAGGTCCTCTGCAAGAACAGTATGCTCTTTACCATCTCTCCAGCTCTGGTCGAGCCGTTTCTGTCATAATCTGTCTGCCTTGGTAGCCTGGGCAAAGTGAATGACGGTTCTTTATTCTAATCTTAATTACTGGTGATAACTCTCATATCACACCACACAAGGTACAAAGCAGCTATGCCTATATACATCTTTATAGATTACAGAATGAGTTGTAGCAGTTCAAAGAGGTTTCAGAAGTGGGCTGAGGGAGAGTCCGTATTGATAATGAACCAGACTGGTTCTGGGAGGGCCTTGCTGTGGGTGCTGCTGAGTTCAGCCGAGGCAGAAGCAGGAAACTGGAAACAGCTGCTCTGGTAGAGGCAGGTGAGCAGGAGACAGAGCCAAGCCGAAACTCAAGAGATACTCGGGGGATAATCAGGAGTCCTTGGTCCTTGAAGCACACGCTGGGCATCAGATGACAGGCTTAAGTGGGATCATACCATGTTAGTGGTAGTGTTAGGAGTCCATCAGTTTCTAGAGGTTAGGTGAGGGAGTACACCCTTCTCTTAGTTTGAAGGATCTAATCAGCTCTTGGGTGTAGGAAGAGCCCCTGCAGATTTTTGCAACTGGTTGACTCTGGAGTGTTTACACCTAGTTTTCTTAGCCTTTTGTGGTTGCGGTCCTGTTTTCGGTACTTTCTGTCTGAAGACTTATCTCAGAGCTTCATTCCTAGGAGTTCAAAATCTATGTAAACTTGGTTTGGCACACTGGAGGTATTTCTAATTGAGAATTTGCATTTGGCATTGTCCCTTTGAGAGATTTAGGTATGATGTTCTGGTGTGGAAATGAACTTGCTAAAGGTGTAAATTGGAGAACAACAACACAAAAAGCCCTGAGCTCATTCATCCTGTGTTATAGGGTGAAAAGGGCCAAGAAAACAAAAACAAACAAACAAACCAACCCCATCCTGCCCCTGACTAGACCCAAAACCTGGCCCAACGAAAAAAAAAACTACCCTGATCCTGACTTGACCTCAGGACCCAGGGCTTGAAATCCCACCAATCCCTGAGCTTGCCCCAGAGTCAGGCTGCAGAATTCCACCAACCCCTGAGGTCCCTGAGCACAAAATCCTACCAATCCCCGAGTTTACCCCAGAATCGGACCATGAATATCTGCCAATCTCAAACCAGCCCCCTATCCCCAGGAAACCCCGTATAAGCTCTGTACCCTGTGCAACTGCTGCAGTTTCCCACCCTAGAGGCTCCCACCCTCTTGGATTCTTCCTCCCCAGTAAATTTCTTGAGTGAGGTTTGTTATGCAGTGTCAAATTTTTACCAGAGGGAGCCCAGCTGTAACACCTTTCGCTGGGGAAGCCTTCCCCTCATGAAGCCAAGCTGGTACACTCCTGGGGACTTCTGCTGGACCTGAGCAGAGCTGGAACAACTTAGATGGGGAAGCCCTTCCCCGGAGGCAGAGCTGTAAGCGGCTGTCCTTACAGTGACTTTGATGTATTCCTTAGCTCCTGACTGCCAGGATACATTTCCATTCAAGCTGCAATGTTAACACATGTGCCCCCACAGATTCAATTCTTCCGCACAGATGCACAGCGTTACTCCCTTCCTAGTCCCAGGAATAAGTCTATGCGGGATGGGTGGTGGACTTGCGGTTTCTATCCACCCAAGGGACTGTTGTCACCCTTCTCTCTCAAAATGAGATCAAAGCTGCTTGTAAAGGTATGTCTTCTAGGGCAAAATACAACCAGAAGAAGTAAAGAAATGCTGTACTATAAAATGCGGAGTAACTTAAGAGGAGAGCACAGCCTGACCTCAACACTCTATTTTCAGATTTAACAATTCAGTGTCAGATGCAGTTCCCCCAAGGAAGCAAGCTCAACATGAGCACATCAGCTAGTTAGCCTTTATAGAGAGCGCCCAAGGGAAAGCCACTAAAGTCAGTCTTTTTTTTTTTTTTAAGTTTCAAATTTGCTAAGTCCTTGCATCTTTGCTAACCTCTCTTTTAAAGGAAGAGAGAAAAAATAAAGACAATAACTCCAAGGATTAATATAACCTACAAAATGTCTCCAAAAGGTGCACTTGTATGTGTGTATACATTGTTAATTCTCCTGAGGAACTGCATTCCCCATGAGGCCCCTATGCGCAGGCGCAGAGTGAAGCGTGGTCCGCCTGACTCAAAAGATGTCATTTCCCAAAAATCACTAGCACCCACAATCCAACAGGGACGCAGAACGCAGCGTCAGATGCACGCATACGCTGGATTGGTCTTTAAAAAGGCAGAACCGCGGTACCCCCTCCTCTTTTTCCCCCTTCCTGCTCCCAGCCTGCACCGTCCTCACGCCCCTTTCCTGCAATAAAGCTACACGTGGGTTTGTTTGTACCTCATGGTCTATTTTGTATTCCGCAGAAAGAACAACATACATACCTGTAAACACGCACATTTCGTAAAGGTGTGCCAAGAATTCTTTTTAAAAAGAAATGTAAAAACAAAGTGGCTTGGCATTTGTGACTTGATTTTAGGAATGCCAGCCCTAGACTGATTGCCCCAAGCTGCTTTAGACTGTAATAACCATAAGAAAGACTTCATGTATTTTATGGTCATGTCATTCACACCAGTGAATTCCTTGATACTTGTCTCCCTGTCTCAAATGGTTCTACAGAGCTGTACTGGCTCAGTAGAACCCAGAAAGCCTTCCCTGTCGTAGGCCAGATACCCACCTTACAAATGGCATAATAGTTCAAAAATAGCCCTACAAAACTGAAACAGCTTAGAAGAACCGGGAAAGACAAAACCAGTCACCAAGAGAAGTCACCAAAATAGTTCCAAAGGAACCCAAAGTACTGAAATGGAAGGCAACATGTTAGGTACAGTGATTGGGGAAGAAACAGTCTGGACCAAACTTTCTACAGAGTTCCAAACAAATTCTATAAGCTCCTTGGTTTCACCAAAGAGGCAAAAAACTGGATACTGGCTAAAGCAGAAACCTAAGAAAAATCCTTGGAATAAAGTGATTCTGGCAGCTGCCTTGGGCAATCTTTCCATGTGGCGTCATCTTGCCATGAACAGCTGCCACTCAAAATGCTCTGGCTGGGTGATCAAAACAGTTACCAGGATTATTAAGGACAAAAGCTACGTACTGACATCTCTAACTAGCTAGGCCTGATCACCCATCTCCAATTTCCCAGAGAACTCTGTCCCTTGTCTCTGGCCTTCTGCCTGTCACACATTTCAGCTACCCATAGAAGGCCTGTGCCCCTCCATACACAGGTGCTATTCATGGATGCTGCTATTCCTAACATCAAGAGTCATGGGGACCAGAGTCTGGGATGGGCTTTAGCCTAAATCACAGCCATCTTCCCCATCCTTATCCACTACTGGGTAGCTAAAAGGCTGGGACTGTCCAACAAGTTCATTAGTTCCCAGACCAGGGCAAAGGTCCAGTGTGAATGCAAGAGGCTGGGGAAACACTGGAAGCGAGTGGTGTGGTAGGAGTATAGCAATAGGGAGAGAAGAACCACTGGCCCCCGAAAACTCAGCTCTGCACAGGGGAAAGGCCCTGGTCCTCAGGAGACAGAGGAGGAAATGGGTTTTCAAGTTCTGGGCTCCCACACATGAAGACTAGAAGAGTGAGTTTTATGGTGAGCCCTGAAGAATTTAGGAGCCACATCTCGGGCCTGAAACCCTTGGATGTCAGACTTCTCAGGGCTGCCCCAGCCAACAGCAGGCTGAACTATGGGCTAGCCATAGCTGGACTGACCTGTCTTTACTAGTGATGAGGAAACTGGGACAGAGTCACCCCGGTGACTCGCCTACTACAGAGTAACTCTGCCGGATGCTTGGAGTCAGGGAGCAGGCAGGCAGAGTGCAGCAGAAACTCTCTTCAAGTCATGTATGTTTTCTCCAAGAAAAAGCCTGAGACAGTAACTACAATTGAGTATCATTTAAGAGTAAAGACTATGGCTTTGCTTAGCAAAAAAGAAAAAAAAAAGAGCAAGAAAATAGCCATTTAGATCCACAAGATAGTAAGACACTAGGAAGGTATAGCAGAAGCCAAAACCAAATGTTCTCCATAAGGTGCTGAAAAACTCAGGGAAAAACCAGGAGGTGGCACAGAACATTTACAGGAGTGTGGTGAGACAGAACCAAGTAGAGAGTCCCAAGTAACGTGCTGATACACCAGACAAACCAGTGACCTTGCAGGACACATCTCGGAGGGCATGAAGATCCAGCTGAAATCCAGTTAGTGTGGGCATGGGCAAGCAGAGTGATTCATGGTTAGAGGCAAGAGAAGTGTGGGAAGAATTACAGTGGTCATAGAAAGTATATGGAAGCTAAGTTATCCAGATTCCTCCAACGTAAGACCTTCTTTGAAAGAACAGTGAGGGAATCGAGCCTGTCACCAAGGAAGAAACCAAACTGGAAGGCCCTGGGCCTTGAACCTTTCAGTCAAAGAACACCATGTAGAGTTCTGTCCCGGCATCAGCCCCTGGCTCAGAACTGTCACAAAGAGGCAGCCATCGGGAGAAGAGGTACCGAGACCCTCCTGCAATCTGGAGCATCCCAGCAGCGTTGGCAGAGGGGGAGAATACTGCTCAAAAAGAAGAGCTTCCGTGAGCAGGCTGCGCTAGAGGTTTGCCGGGCTGTTCTGGTAAGACGCAATGAGATAAGGTTCTGTACACACTGCCTAAGCTCTGCGCCCGCGACCAGGCTGGCTTACGCTTGAGAGATGAGAATACGAGAAGTTCCTGGATGAGGAGCTGGAGGGGTGGGGCAGTGAATTTCACACCGGCTTAGGAGAAAGAAGTGGACTACCCAGTAAGGTCAGAAAATACCTGCGTCAGATAACTGGAAATCAAGCATCAGGCAGTCAATGATGGGGAGGCACCCTTGCCTTGAAAGTGATCATTTCTTTCAAAGCTGGGGATGTTCAATCTCTGGGAAAAGAATGGTATAGATTTCATGTAGAGAACTTGAGATCCGTGATGCAGACGTGTGACAGCAGTTGACACTAGAGAAGCGGAGAGGAGTCATCTTCCCTGGCCAGAGCACGAGGGAAGCCTTGTCCGCCAATCAGAGCTTCGTCAGGATGGTGGGGGCACCTGGCACACAGATCAGAGCAACTAGATGACACCATCCGTGGCATCAGAGTCCCTGCACTTCGCCGCCTTCCTTCCTTCATCTAAAATGACATGTCCACTTTCCAGCAAGGATAATGAGAACAAATCCGAGGAAATCTGGTTTCAACACGTGCTTCATCCATTCCGAACCATTTTGATTGTGTGCTGGAAGACTTCCTTGCCCCACAGCGTAATGATAATGACCTCTGACGTCCATTTAAAACCCTGCATTCCTGTTATGTAGCCTCTGCCCTGGTGCTTGACTCTGGTTCCTCCATGGAGCCACTGTAGTATGGGCTTGGAGACTTCCTCTGAAACGTTCTCTCTGCGTCAAGACTTGGAGGACTTTGAGGCTGTGATTCTGACTGGGGCAGCACTCTGGTGAAAGTCAAAGACCTCCTGTCTTGAAGACAACTCTTAAAGGGTACCCTGAAACTTTAGCTAGCACCCTGGGACTTCAGCTTTTTTGTGTGTGTTTTTTTCTGGCCAGCCCTCCCAAGACTGGCTGTGAATATTTCTTCAGCTTCACATTGGCACATCATCCCTTTCCCCAGGGCAGGCAGTCAGCAGCCTATGTATCCTGTCCCTTGAAAACACCACTTTCCTGGGGGTTCAAACATTGGGTCTTTTAGAAAGTTCCATCCTCCAGTCACTGGCTGATGCCCTCTGGTCCCTAACCATTGGCATCAGCAACAGGAGATCCTGTAGAGGGGGAGGGGCATCCATTTCAAAAGTTTCATCTCAAGTGTCTTAAAGTGATCCTAAGGGGTTCCTTTGAGGGGAGAAGTCTGTCCTTCAGAAATTGTCCCACATATCTGGATACTTCTAGTCATTGAGCCGAAGAGCCAGGTCCTTTACAAATGTCCCATCAAAGAAGTCTTTGAAAAGGAGGTAATTTCAAAAAGACAAAATAAAATAAAATAAAATGGAAAGGAGGTAATTTCAAAAGTTGCAATGTAAGCTCCTTCGAGGATGGGCTGTTGGCCTCAGCACCGGAAGGTCCTTATGAGCAGAGGAAAGCCTTGTACCAAAGCCATTTCTCCAGTGGTTTCCTGTAGCTTTTGGCACCGTCGTCAGCCAACTGCAGATGCTCATCTGTGGGAATCCAATTTTTAAAAGGACAGCCTTTAAAATGTTCCAACCTCACTCAAGTCACTGAAGGATGAATATGTTTGCTTCGTGTTCCTTTTGAGGGGAGCGAGGTCTCCCTTAGAAGTTACATCTTGAATCCCTTGTCGACCATTTAGGATCCTTAGTAGAAATTATGCCAGAGGAAATTGTGGTCTTTGACCCGCCATCTCAACAAGAGAATGGGTCTGCCCATCACTCCAGATTCACGACTTTGGCTAATTCTAAAGAACTGGAGTGAGTTTGACCATCAGAGGAAGGTGATTGTTGGATTCTGGTCTTTCAGGCTCTGTATCAAGCTGTCCCCCCTTTCCTTTCCCCCCTTCTTTTTCTTCTTTCTTCCCCTGGCCTTCCTCACTGTCCCCAGTCGGAGATGGCCCCTCCACCAACGGCCGTGTGCGCGAGCAGAGCCTCAGCAACCGCTAACGGTGGAACTTCCCAGGTGGGAGCGGGGTGGCCCTGTCGATGAAGATTCGGAGCGGACTAGGTGCAGACCAGAGTCGGGTCCGCACAGGCTCTTTGAAGCCTTTGGTACTTGATGCACCATGCCGCGTTGCTGAGTCTGGTTTGGCGGTCATCGACCCACTCTGCCAGGATTTTTCTCCCACAAAATGAGGCGCGTCCCCAGTGAAGGCCCATCTGACGCTAGTCCCGAAGGGTTACAGGGTGGTGGCTGCTCCAACAGGTGCAGTGGAGCCCACAGTAGCTGGGTGCTCTTGACCGCCTTTTCCAGCCTGCCCTTGGGGTAGCCTGATCCAAAGCTGCTTACCCCATGGTGTCCCAAATCTGATGGCATTCTTAGCTTTGAGATGGTGAAAGCTAGTGGTCTTCTAAGAATACAATTTAAAATTAAACAAAAAAATAGTTTTAAGATTTATTTAATTTGTGAATATTTTCTAGCACGTATGTATGTATGTATGTATGTATGTGCACCATATTCATGCCTGGTGCCCTTGGAAGTCAGAAGAGGATGACCAGCAGCCGGAGTTACCGGTGGTGGTGTGCCACCACGTGGATGCTGGGAACCAAACCCTCGTGCTTGCTGATGATTTTTTTTCTCCAACACCAATGTTAAGACTTTGACCCCTTCACAAGCATGCTAGGTCAGACACAGGGGTGGGCAATGAATGGCTTTCCAGGAGACTAAAAAGAGCCCAAGGTAATTTGACTCTGGTCTACAACATTTTAACGCCATCTATAATCTTGAAGTTTAGTCATTTGGCCTTGTGGAATCTTCTTTTTATTTTATGTGCACCTTATTTGGTGCGAAGATGCCAGATCCCCTAGAACTAGAGTTGCAGACAGTTGTGAGCTGCTATGTGGGTACTGGGAATTGAACCCGGATCCTCTGGAAGAGCAGCCAGTGCTCTTAACCATTGAGCCATTTCTCCATCCCCCACCTTGTGGAATCTTCTAACACAGGTACAGCCTCCTCCGGCCCTTTTCCCTTCTCCTTCCCCTACTCCTCCCCCTTCCTTCCTTCAGGGAAATCCAGTTCACAAAAGTTAAGTGTGGGTTTACAGATGTTTTCCTTGTTACCAGTGTCCAACATCTTTGAATTATTAGGAGGCACTGCCGTAGTACATAGCTAGTCTGAATATCGTTTAACACATCTGGTAAGTGCAAATGGCAGGGTGTGGTGGCACACCCCTTTGGCCCCAGCACTTGGGAGGCTGAGACAGGCAGATTTCTGTGAGTTGGAGGCCAACCTGGTGAGTTTCAGGACAGCTGGGGCTATATAGAGAGATGTTAATATTATTTCTTAACAGTTCAGATTCAAGGTCTGAAGTTATGCCTCTTAGAAGGGTTGTATTAACACAAAGTGCCAGTAGTAATTAACATCGTTACACTGAAGAACTACATAGCCAGCCTGCATACTGATTTAGCTTTTACTTTTGAAGCAGAATTTAGAGTCTTTGGCTCACTTGGTAGGCTGGCTAGTTTTATGTCAGCTTGACACAAACTAGAGTCGCTGAAGAGAAGGGAGCCTCAATTGGTCTGACTATAGGCAAGCCTGGAAGGCATTTTCTTAATTAGTGTTAGTGGGAGGGGGCAGCCCATTGTGAGTGGTGTTATCACTGGACTAGTGGTCCTGGGTTCTGTAAGAAAGCTGGCTGAGGAGGCACAGAGGAGCAAGCCAGTGAGCAGCACTCCGCCATGGCCTCCGCATGGCTTCTGCCTCCAGGTTCTGCTTGAGCTCCTGTCCTGACTTCCTTTAGTGAGGAACAGGGCTGTGGAAGCACAAGCCAAATAAACCTATTCCTCCCGAGTTACTTTTGGTCATGGTGTGTCATGACGGCAGTAGAAACCCTGACTAAGACAGAAATTGGGACCAGGATAGTGGATTCTTGCTCTGACAGGCCTGTGGGTTTTGTGGAAGGACTTTGGCTGTTTGGACTAGCGGAGTCATGGAATGTTCAAAGTGTGGTAAGCTTGGAAGATCAAGGATGCTGAGAGAAATGTAGAGGATGGAAGCCTGACTAGTGACGTTTCAGAGGAAAGTTTAAAGATGGTCTTTGGGACCATTTGCTATTTTTAAGTAAGATTCAGTTATTCTGGTCAGCTGAGGCTGAAGTGACAGTCATGATTAACAAGAGACCAGCACCAGCGAAGGAAAATCTTTGTGTTCCTGGGATGCTGAGAAATTATCAGTGACTAAGAAGAGATCAGCATCATTGAGGAAGTGCTTCCTCAGAGTCAGCCCTGGAAGCTGTGTTCCAGAGGTGGTCAAGGTTGGCGTTTGCTTTGGCAGCCAAACTTGGTAGTGGAGCCACCCATGTAGTGCTGGTTTTGAAGGCATGAAGGGGTCATGGAAAGCTGTCGAGGCTTAGTACTGTGAGGTAGGGTTGGAGTTCCTGAAGAAAGCCCAGGAGAGGCTACTGATGAAAGTGCAGTCCAATTGCAGAAAGCGACGACAACATTTTGGAGACGCCAGTATCATGGGACAACCACCGGCTTGTTGGGGTTTCTGTCCCACCTGGTACCCCACATCCAGCACACCCCAAGGAAAATCACACACAGGACTCCATAAGATTATAAACTGATTGGCCCATTAGGTCAGACTACTTATTAGCTCTTATAACTTATGTTACCCCATTATCCTTATCTACATTAGCCACATGGCTCCGTACCTTTCTCAGCTGGGCAAGTTACATACTGCCTCTTTGGTGGTCTGCGCAGGAGTGGCTGAGGGAGCTTCTGCTTCCAGAATACTCCCAGTCTCTTTGCTCCACCCCTACTTCCTGTCTGACTTTCCCGCCTATACTGCCTGCCTGGTCAATCAGTGTTTTATTAAAATATGATTGACAGAATACAGACAATTCTCCCACACCATTTCCCTCTCTTTTTTTTTTAACAAAGGAAAATACCCATAGTCCATTTGTTGGGAATGTGGGCGTAGTATTTCAGGCTACTTCCTGCTGGTTGTGGGCGCTGATGATCTTATAGGGACCTAAAGAAAATTTAGAGTTATAATCAAGTCCTGACTGGAGTATCCTGTGAGTTTTGATCATCTCAGGCAGCAGTCTTGAATCTGTTCTGGATGTAGAACTCTGTCATCTGAGCCATCTGTTCCTGTTGGAGATTTCTCAGGTGGCCTCCCTTGATCAAAGCTGATTTTTCTTAAATCAGAATGAATCCACAGCCTCTCATTTTCTGTGGAAACAAAAGCAAAATTTCTTCTCGAAAGTAACATACCTTTTGACTTCAGTTTTGAAGCCAAGGTATTTTCAAAATATCTATCTTGGGTTAGTTCAGCAGCATTTATAAACAAAAGTCTTTTAGCAGATGTTGCTCCTTCCTCAGCACTCAAACAATTCAAAGAGAGCATAATAGCATACAGTATCAAGATTCTCCATGTATTTTCCATCTTTATGTGGCTTTATTTTAACCTCTATTCCTTTTAATTTTACTTTTAACTTCTGGCTTTTTGAGACAGGTTCTCTGTATATATCTTTGTCCTGGAATAACTCAGTAGACCAGGCTGTCCTTGAACTCACAGAGATCTGTCTGTCTCTGCCTCCCCAGTGCTGGGCTCAAAGGTGTATGCTACCACACCTTGAACTCACAGAGATCTGTCTGTCTCTGTCTCCCAGGCATTGGGATTAAAGGCGTGTGCTACCACACCTTGAAGTCACAGAGGTCAATATGCCTCTGCCTCCCAGGCATTGGGATTAAAGGTGTGTACCACCACACCCTATATCTCCCTTTCTTTCTTTTTTATTTTTAATAACTTTAACCTTTTAGCCTGCATATATTTTTAACACACTGTAAACCATTTAGAGGTTTTCTTCATCTTTGAATCCCTCTTTACTGTATGTCTCTCTTTTTCTGACCACATGAGCCTTTAATTTACAAAGCAATATGGAAAACTGTGGCTTTGATGGCTAGCTCCAGCCCATTCTTTAGCTTTCCAGCCTCGTGGCTGAGGTACCGGCTGCAACCATTTTTCTTGCCACAACTCTATGGTGTTTCAAAGTCCTTGCTAGCAAGCAAGCTGAAGCATTCTGCTCACAGACCACACTCAGTCGGACTGCCTGCCTGAAAGAGTCAGAGTTTGCCCTGGCAGGACAACCCAGAAAGCCAGCATTTTAAAACAGCACAGCTTTTTTCCTGCTACGGCTGAAAGCCGAAAAGCATGCGTTCAGCTTTTCATTAACACCGTTTAAGTGTTTCGTGGCAGGACCTCTTAATGAGCTACAAAGTTTTGCAGCTAAAGCTGAGTCAGGAAGCCTCTCTTAGATGAGAGCACTTGCTTGCCTCTAGCAAGCAAAGCAGACCCGAGAAATTGCTGCTACCAAGAAAACATGCTTTACTCTATTCTTTCCCAAACTTTCTCAGGCTTTCTGTGGATGCAGTTAGACACGTGGGTGCCATCTGTAGTATGAGGGCCGGCTTGTTGGGGTATCTGTTCCTGCCCAGTACCCCACAACTGGCAAGTCCCAGAGAAAATCAATTACACAGAGATCTCTATAAGTTATAAAGCTGATTGGTCCATTAAGTCAGGCTACTTATTAGTTCTTATGACTTATCTTAACCCATTATTCTGATCTATGTTAGCCATATGGCTTGGTACCTTTTTCAGCTGGGCAAGTTACATGCTGCCTCTTCGGTGTTCTGCTCAGGAGTGGTGAGGGAGCTTCCTGCTTTCCAGAATACTCCCAGTCTCTTTGCTCCACCTCTACTTCCTGTCTGACTTTCCCGCCTATACTGCCTGCCTGGCCAATCAGCGTTTTATTAAAATATGATTGACAGAATACAGACAATTCTCCCACAGCAATAGGGCTAGATGATAGTGGCGCACACCTTTAATCCCAGCACTTGGGAGGCAGAGGCAGGGATATCTCTGTGAGTTCAAGGTCAGCCTGGTCCACAAA